GTGTTACTTGTTCACTCTCGGGGTCACCAAAATATGGAAGTGTTGTGGTGCTCCGTAATTAATACCAAAATGATCCAAATTTTGGTCATAATAAATTTTATGAAATATTATGTTTTATACTTTGTTTATTTTATGTATGAGTAGTATTGACGACACCATGTGTTGTCATACTGATCATTAATAAAACGTTATTGGTATTTTCTTATTTATAATAGAAAAGAAAGGTTTCAAGAATTATACATTTTTTTGGCAAAAACTACTCGGGGAGAAACAAAAGCCATGTCCGATCTGACACTTGAATTTCCTTTTGTTTTTCTCCGTGCTGTCACTATATGGGCCAATCTGTACAGTAACATGTGATGCGTGTTGACGAGCCGCGATGCGTGTTGACAACCCGCTATATATATATATATATATTATAATTATATATATAAGTATATTTATATATATATGATGATTGCCGAATTTTGTAGCTGCAAAATCCTACTACAAAAATGGGTGTTTCTTAGTTACCCTACGGACTTATTGAGTGAAGTGATGTATATATTTGTATGTAATATATTTACTTTTTTACTTGTGTATATATATACATACACACACACACACACACACACACATATATATATATATATAAGGTAAACGTACCATATTACGGGATGTTAAGGAACGTTTGACTTTAAAGACGAATTTTAGAGAAAATAGGAAAGTGGACGAACTAAATCTGTTATATTTTATTAATTAGACCTTTGAGATTATTATAAAACAAGATTTTTCGTCGTAGAACGTCATTTATAGAAATAATCGGCATTTTGCTGAACCACGCGTTTGTCCCTAATTCCGTGATAAAATTCGGCTCGTGAATATAATGCCGGGAGTCGTTGTACGTTATTCCGTGATAGCGCACGATGCTTACATTTTTGATCGTATTTCTGATAAATATAGTTATAAAAAAGGGTTATAAAAAGTGCGGTTAATTATGAAATAATACTTTGATATAATTTTAAACATTTATTTAGTTTTATAAAAGTCATAAAATTATAAGAAGTTAAAAAACTTCTAAAATAAAAATAAAATAAAAGCTGGTATTATTATATATAATAATACCAGCTTTTATTTTATTTTTATTTTAGAAGTTTTACTATAGTAATAGCAGTATAATTATCATTATCAATACTGTTTCGGTAAATCAAATAAATGAAACAATAAAGGAATAACTTTTAACGGCAATTAAACAAAAATATAAACTTAAAATAAATATAAAATTTAAACTCAAAGTAAAAAAATTAAACTTGTAATAAAAGTTACAATTCTGTCAACAAACATAAATCTTTAAAGACTTTACAATAATCTTTAAAGACTTTCAAGTTAACAATAACTACTAGCTCAAATTAGGTTTGATTGGGAATTTTGTATGTTTTAGAAGCTTTAAAATACATTTAATATAATATGGCAAATTTCTTTTAAAGCCTTTTTTCAGGGTTTTGGGTGAATATTTAATTGGAGCCATCGTTCTTTGAAAAACTAAAAGTCCAATTTGAAATCATACCCAAATAAATTTACTGATCTTGAATATAATTTTAATAATATTTAATAAATTGTATTAGACTATTAGAAAGTTACTGCATTTAAGAGTAGCCTCGGCATCTTATTTTCGAGTAATTGCAATTCATATTAATTTAATAACTTACGATGTATGTTTGTTTTAATAATATGCAGGTTATATAATGGTTATATTCCAAAAGCTTATATATATATATATATATATATATATATATGATGATAGTTTTGTCGACGTTGATACATATTTGTAATATTTTTGCAGCCCAACCATCGAATTAAAAAAAGATTAAATAACTAAATTATTTATTCCATTAAACGTTTCGACACTTGATGTGTGTCATCATTCAGTAATCAAACCAGGAAAATCAACAGAAAAAATTAATTATGATGTAAAATTGATTGAACACTAAATTTGTGTAAAATAATAAAATACTCTTATATTAACAAACAAGAAATAGAAGGAGCACATATTGCTCTCCAATATTTAATGTTATTGATAGCGGTGCATTGTGGACACTCAATACACACACATACACACACACACACACACACACATATATATATATATATATATATACATATCTTAAATACTGATTTTCAGCCAATCGTCAAAATAAAAGAAAACAAATAAATAAAAATATTTATTTATATTATATTAATAATATTCAAGATATCTCTCAACGTCGAACAAAAAAATCTAATTAATATATATATTGATATATATATATATATAGTTTTTTTGTTCAATGCTATTGAAAAATTAGTATAAAAAATAATTTTAATTTTACAAATTTAACTTACAATTGCAATCATGCCATGTAAATCTACTAAAATGTGATATTCAATCAGTGATATTTTGTTAAAAAAATAGCAAGCGAGTGACAGAGTTTGGTTCTATTATAAAATTTGGTTTGAACTAGAACGTGTATGTTTAAAACAATATTCATGATTTTTTAGAAATCTATTGTAAAGCTATAGTACTGATAATTAAGACAGTGCCAAAGTATAAGTCCATAAAGGAATAGATTTTTTTTTATAACTTAGAAATACCCTTTTTAGGGAGAGAAATTAGCAAAGTATTGTAAAATATTAAACACTAAATTGTAATAATATTATGATTGTATTGTATAATAATACTTAAAGTGTAGGATTAAATATAACATAGGTTTTGTTAGATAATGAAATATAGATATATAATTAGGCACAAAGAGATTAAATTGAACTGGATTGATTTCTTAAAAATATTAATTTTTCTCTTTTAGACTCTCTTCAAATTTCATTTGTACTTTTTAATAAAATAATTATTATGTTAAATAGTAAAAAGGCACGTAATGCTAAATTATATACAATAATTAAAATCAAAATAAAAACAAACATTAAAAACACCTTAAAAGTAGGAGAGACTCAGTACGGTTGGACAGGGTACGGTAGTGACAATCGCCATAACAAGTAATCAATACAGATTTTGAGATACGGTAAAAAATAAAAGATGTAGTCAACGCCCTACATTTAAGTAGACCGTACTGCTTTACAGAGTCAAAAGTAAGTTTTTTCGTTCGATTTCTTTTAATAATAATTGTTACTTGTATACATGGGCTCGCCCGTAGGTAAGCGGTTAAGAGCGACGGGACTTGTTTCAGAGGTCCCGGGTTCGATACCCACTTCGAGCAGCCTGTTGACAGGCAACATTGACAACGATTTTCACTTGGAAATATAGATAGCAATATGTTTCCAAGTGAAAATAGCCCTCACCCGGCATTGTTGCACCATACTTGCCCTATTACAGAGATTGCAATAAAAATTTATCATACAGAGATGTGACAACTGTTTGGGTTGCCATCTGTAATAAAACAAATGTAGTTTGTAAGATCTTACTCACAACAGCTCATGGAACCCATTAGTTCTGATTGCTGTTCAAATAAAAAAAAAAAAAAACTTGTATACATATACTTTGTTTCATATTTTGCTGTAAGTTAAACATTAGTAGTTAATTACCAGCAATTAGTTTATGCGTGAATAATTTAGCTCAGTCCGGTATGATTTTAAACTGAAAAAGAAAAACCTAACTTAACAAAGTTAGGAAAAAAATATGAAAGAGAAAGGAAAAGGAAAATACAATACAGGAAAAAAAAGTTTCAAAAAAATTTCTTGTTGACTTTGTTAAAAAAATTATGTTTTGTTATATTAGTAATAGATTATTATACATTATAATCCTACAATACAATAAAAAGAAACCAAAAGGTAAGAAAAAACAAGAAAAAACAAGAAAAAAAATAATGAGAATATAATCAAAATGAAAATGATTAAAATTAATGAGTGGATTATATAACAAAATATTAAAAATATTGAAAAAATTGCACGTTTTAGAAAGTTTTGAGAAAAGGTTATTGAAAAAACAGAATAAATTACCTGTATGATTGATTATACGCTAACACCTTTTCACTAAAAAGATTTTATCAATAAAATGTGATTTTATAAATTTCTTTTCAGGCGCAGAAACAGACAAAAACCATAAGTGATTTTTAACCATAAATAATTGACTCTAAATATTTATATGCTTCACATACGAAAATTCTTGTAAATAATGATATTTAATAAATCTGCTTTATTCGCACTGCTATATGTATACGTTGCGCCTTTCACTCGCGGTCTCTAGCGGCTCGTATTATTTATATTACGAATTTTGCTCTAATGACAAAATGAAAACAAGCCGCATCTTCGGCGGTTCGTATCTCGAAAAGCTCGTATGACAAGTTGCTCGTAAGGCGGATCCCACTATATAGTATATATAAATATGTGTGTGCGTACGCATTTCCACTTATTTCTTTTATGAAAATTTGATAATTTTTTTATTAATATATTTGAAACACATATATCATTACTTATGTATTAAGAAGGCTAACCATAATTAAAATCAAGCAGGTAAGAAAAAAATGACTCAAAATATTGCTTGTTTTGTTGCATTTAGAAATGCTCAGATTGAATATAATGAATGACTTCATAGTATATAGATACAACACACGCATTGAATGATTGCTCAAACAAACATATAACAATAACGCATCCTTCAAAGTTTGAGTTATCAGAAAAGAGCTCTTCACGTGTTTGTCTGCAATCTCAGCTGATAAAATTTAAATTATTATATTTATATATAATAACGATACAATTTGTTATATCATATAATGTAAAGTAAAGGCTTGCAAATACAGTTCCATAGCAAACTGTTCGGTATTCGGCCAAATATAAAAAAAGCCAAATATACCAAATTCCGTATAGTAACTAAATATTCGGTGCAAGTCTAAATATTATATGCATAAGATTTGTTTAAATGATTTTGTTATGTTGTGTTACATATTTCCGACAAAAAGTCATTTTGAACCATTCTGGTGTTTATATCTATTGTTTAACCTATGTTTATGCCTGTTCAATTTAGGGGGGTGAACTGTTGTGACACTCTCTCTTTTTGTATGATTTCATTATATAATTTTATCCACCGTATTTAAGAACAGTATTTCTGTATTTCAAGAAAGTCAAATGTTCAAACTACCATTTAAATAATTTTTCTCCCAGTTAATTGGTAAATTAACAAAATATTACTGATCAAAAAAGTGGCACAACCGAACCTAGTCTCTCCTATAATATAAACCGATTGTATCAATTTATATGATAATCATGGCGCAGATATATGATAAATTTATTATATTGGAATAGTATTAGTTATCCATATTTTTTAATAAAATTAGTATATAATTACTACTAACCAATGTGCATACCTTTAACTAATTCTTTTACATTTTCATAGTCGGGATCTGAAGACAGAAAATTCATCAGGTATTCGAATGTAGGACGACTCTGTGGCTCATATGACCAACATTTGTTCATAAGTTCATACATATCCTGAGGACAGTTTTCTGGACAAGTCAATCTAACGCCCTTTTCAATTAGTTGGATAACCTAAAATAAAATGCATGCCTCAACACAAAGTTTTACGAACATAAAATATTAGTCGTTTTTAACCAGTAGTAAAAAACTTTTACTACTTTTAAAAGTTTTATATACTACCTTTTGAAATGCTCTGATGATTTTGATATGGGCGAAGAAAATCAGCTATATTATAATTTGAATTTTTAAATTAGTAATAAAAAGAAATTGTAAATAAAGTAATAATTATTAATAAAAATCATAATGTTCTTAATAATACTATACTACAAATCAAATTTTATAACAACGCACAAATAAATTTAAATATCATAATAAAAAAATGTAGTTATTCTAGTAAAGTTCTTAAATCTTTATAAAAAAGTGATAAAACTATTTTAATTTTATTAGTGCCACATACTCGATTTTTGTTTGTAAGTTTACTCAAAGCAACCATTTCAATTTTCAACAAACTATTTGACTAACCTGTTTTCTCAAAGCTAGAATTTTTTTAATGATATTTTATTATCGACCCATTAAGAAAGTACCATGCTGGCAGTCATTCCGCGATTGCGTCATCATCCCTTCAATTTGTGAAAATGTCAAAAAAAATTTTTTCATAACTTGCTCCCACAAGGCTCAAATTTTGAGGGTAATTTCTTTTAACTGTTCAGAAAGCATATGTTGTAAAAGCAACTATTCAGAAAGCCAGCCCATTCTGACGATTGCAAGGGTCTGCCAGTCGAGTACATAATAATCACGACGCGGAAAGATGTGGGCGCATTGCCATACATAATCGACAAACATCCTTGTATTTGAATAATTTATACACCATTTTGAAGGTCTTTTTAAAATCGTACAAAATTAGTAAATGTACAGTAGAACGAAATGGTTTCTATTTGTAAAGTTATTTGAATTAGTCATATAGCAATTATCTTTGTCAAATAAATGTTTCGTTCAATTTCAATTCCATATAGTAAATTTATACTGAAAAATCCAGAAATATGTGTATAAACAATATTAACACTAATCATACCAAAGGCGGTGACCCGCTTTGAACTTAGAATTGGAAAACCAATTTTATTGTTTTGGAAATGTGATGTTCGGAACTCACTTTTTTGTGTTGCTTATTTGGAGCAATATTTATTGTATAAATTTATCTACAATGTCGGGTCATTTGTCCCAGGAGCATTCTTTAATTTTATAAGCTTGTATCAACTTCCCGTAGGGTAAGTTATTGTAATCGTCCAAAAATTGAAATTAAAATTTTTTACATTTCTTCACGTTTTGAAGATTTCTGAACATTTTGGCATAGCTCAAAAAAAAAAAGGATGTATGGATACAATTTTTCGTCCATGTTTTCGGGCGCACGGACCAACCAATTTGAATGGTTCAAAAAACATTCGATTCCTATTGATAGGTAGATGTGCTGATTAGTGTTTGGCAGGTCCAGCGGTTTCGGAGATACAGAGCTAAATATGCAAAAAATGGCAGTTTTTGAGAGAACTAAGCATCCGATTTGAATTATTCAAAGAACTTTCTGCTTGTTTTAACAAAATAATTGCTTTTGGAAAAAATGTTTGTTTCAATTTTTTTTCCAATTTTTTATTTTTTTTCAAATTTTTTTTGTATATAAAAAATAATTCAGGTTTTAATTGTAATTCTGACATAAGTTCTAATATACTTTAAACAAATATTTTCAATTTTGCAAATCAGTTCATATAATTCTTATAAATATTAGACAATGTTACAGTATTTATTTATAATAATCTATTTGAAAACATTCAATATTCCGCGAACATTTCGTTACGATACGGGAAGTTCCAGCACGATGCCATACACACCACTAGTTTTGCTTTATTTTGTAAAAACCGTTTAGAAAAGTAGTTTAATCAGAATAACCGAGAATATTTTACAAAAAATATCAAAATTGTAAATAGCAAAATGCTAATTGATTAATTTGGAAAGAAGCTTTTTGCCCAAAAAATGTCGTACAAAACAAGGCAGTACAAGCTGTTTAAATATACATATAATATCACAAGTAAAATTAGTACCGGCATTTTCATTGATAATCGAAGATAGTATTATGAATCTTATTAGATTATGCGCAATAGAAAATAAATGTTAGGGTGCGATTGGAGTTTATCTCGAGAAAAATAGAATGCATTTATGACAATTTTATATATGAGACTAACTAGCAATAAAATATTTTTTTTTATATATCTTCACGTTTCAGAGGATACTGAACTTTCTGGCATACCTTAGAAAAAATGAATGTATGCGTATGTGTGCGTGCGAATACAAATTTTCGTCGACGATTTCGGGAACAGCGATCAGCCGATTTGAATAATTATTTAAACATTCGATTCGTATTGATAAGGAGACATGCTGATTAGGTCAATTTGAAATATGAATATAATAAAAAAGGTTTAAAGGTTTTTAAACAATTTTCGGTACGAAAAGTTCCAGCAATTTGCCAAGGCACGATGATAGAAAGAATTGGTGATTAGTTTTTGAAAAAAACTGATTTTATAAAAAAAAACGTGAGAATTATACCCAGAATCTCTATGCATATTAGAAGTACTATAATTATATGGAAGAATAACATTTACATGATTAAAAACAAATAACATTTGACTAAACCAGACGAAAACTCATGATGAATTACTTTTTTCATTTTGGTTTCAAAATAAACAAAACGCGCGTGAGCCTCACTCATTTGTCCAGCGGCCACTAGCGATCGCGGAATGTTTATCTCTTCCAAACCTCTATCTTTCCGCCATATAATGCCTAAACGGACGGTGAATAGTTTTCGTGATATTTCGATTGCTCAACTTGCCCCTATGCTCAACTAGCCCCGCTTTACCCTATGTGTATTATATTTAATATAATTACAGATATTTGTTTAAATGTGTTTGATATATCAATTGAAAATTGTAATGTTTAGATTTAATCAAAAGCAAAAACTTTATTTTCAAAATAAACAGTTAAAAATTTTATCTAAATTACTAAATCTCAATTTCGGTTGGGAAACGATAAAAAACGAAAATTATTTAATCTTATGATATACAGTGGTACCCCGCCTTACGAGCATATTTCGTTCCGTAAGCACGCTCGCTTGTCGAATTGTACGTATCTCGAAGCAATTTTTTCCATATAAATACATTGAAATACTATTAATTCGTTCCTTTTCTAAATAAAAAATGACTAAATTATCATTATACTAGATTTTGAGTTCAAAAAAACTATACAATGAGCATTATTTTCTTCAACTCATTATAGTATTGCAAAAATGCATAAAATGTATACGACCATCTGCATCTTTTTAGATCCACGAACTTTTCAACTTTATCCCACATTGCACAAACAAAAGCATAAAATGTATAAAATTAATGAACTGAATTTTTTAACTTTAAAATAATTTACTTTTAACATTAGTATGATGGTTAAATGCGACTTCACACATTCTAAAATCCTTGTTACAATTGCTAATAGATGAATCGTTTCATTCTCACCGCCTTAAGTTTACGTTATGCCTCTCATTCGCACGTTCTCGAATACGATAGGAGCGATTTGCGGCTTGTTATATGAGCCGCATCGCTTCTTTGGCGGATCGTATCAAGAATTTTGCTCGTATAAAGATGCAAACGAGCCGCGCGTTCGGCTACTCGTATCTCGAAAAACACGTATAACGAGTACCACTGTACTAAAAGCAATTATTAACTTCCCGTAGGGCAAGTTATAGTAATCGCAAAAAAATCGAAAATGGAAATTTTTATATATCGTTACGTTTTAAAGGTTTCTGAATATTTTGGCATACCTCAGAAAAAATGGATGTATGTGTGTGTGTATGTGTGTGTGTGCGTATGCGTGTGTGTGTGCGGATACAAATTTTCGTCGACCATTTCGGGAACACCGATCAACCAATTTGATTAATTCATAAAAACATTCGATTCGTATTGATAAGAAGACGTGCTGATTAGTTTTGGCGAATGCAGGTCTAGCCGTTCCAAAGATACGAGGCAAAAAGTGCCAAAAATGGTAACTCAGTTTTTAAGAGAACGGAGCGTCCCATTTTGATAATTCTAAAAACATTTTACTTGTATTGACTAGATTAAAAATTGATCACATTTTCATGAAGGCAGGTCTAGCGGTTTCAGAGATCTAATGAAAGAAGTAAAAAAAAACGCCATTTGGCGGTCAAAAATGATCATTAGACATATGCACATCAAATTATCAGATATTTTATAGAGATTTTAACAATAAGTATAAACTTTGTTTACATTCCTATGCGTTCCGTACCAATGTTTATCCGTTACGCGGCGCTTACGCGCTTCGAGATTTTGTCTCTATGCAGTTAAGCAGTACGATTGCTCTGAAAAAAGCTCAGAATTTCCAAAATATGTAAAAATAAAAAAAACATTTTTTTAAATTTTTTTTTCATTTATAGTTTCTTAAAAACCTAATTTTTTCGAAATAAATTTTTTTCAAAAATGTTAATACGATCACCCTGATATATATCACTTTTCCATACTTTCGATGATATCTCGGGTAAATGAAGAAGAGAAAAGTTTAAAACTGGTATATTTTAAAAAATAGGTTTTTTCTAGAAGATATTTAAAATTATATATAGTATCAGAGTGGGACTGATATTATATAGAAATATAAAGAATTTAGAGAAATAATTTGAATAAATTTTCCAAAAATTGAAATCTTAATTCTTTAATTGATTATATTAATTTCATAAACAAGAAGTTTCGTCATTAATAAGCAATTTGGATTTTTATCTAGAATATTAACCACACTAAAACATTTTCGATTTTCAATTGCATACCTCAACACCTCGCTCATCACCATATGGCTGAGCTCCCATAGAAAACATCTCCCAAAGCGTTATCCCAAAACTCCAAACATCACTTGCATGCGAAAATGTACCGAAACTGTAAGATTCTGGAGCATACCTAAAATTATAAGCATATACATAAAGACATATTCGAAACTATTCATGAAATTATACCAACTCACAAATATCTGTACACATACACGCTCGTATATAAATAAATAAATATATATATATATATATATATATATATATATATATATATATACGAGGTCTGTTCAAAAAGTACCCGGAATTTTCGTTTTTTCAAAAAAATATTTATTTATTCGTCTACATTAATGTGGTCCCCTTCAAAGTAGTCCCCCCCAGATATAATACACTTATGCCAGCGTTTTTTCCAATTTTCGAAGCACCCTTGATATTCACTTTTTGATATGTCCTTGAGCACTCTCAGCGATTTTCTTCAATCGAGGAAAACCGCCGTCCTTTCATGGGTCTCTTCAACTTTGGGAATAGGAAAAAGTCACACGGAGCCATATCTGGTGAATTTTTGCACTTTGCAACACTTTATTTCATTTTTTACGCAAAATTTAATACAAATTCTTTGACTTTTCAATTCTTCCATTGTAAAAATCGCCGAGCTCAGAAAAACACGTCGAACCTTAGCGACTACCACAGACAAAGTAAACAGTGAATATAGCTGAAAATTTCATCATACTTTAGGGGCATGTATACCAACACAATAAAAAATAAATAAACACACAACAATAATAAAAAATTTTGACAATCAGACACTCCAGACCCGCGAAATTTAATTATTAGTAATACCGGGTACTTTTTGAACACACCTCGTATATATATACTAGATGACCTGACAGACATTGTCCTATACCCACATATACGATTTATTAATAATAGGATATTAATAAATCGTACTAATATTTACCGTTCAGTCAAAAGTAATAATTATTGTTTTTCGAATTACTATTTACACCAATATATGAGTGATGTTAAATGTAGAACTGCTTCAAATAAAATGATGATTCTCAATTCCCACAGTTAACACTTTAATTATCCCTTTAACAAATATTTTATTGTTCAATAAAATTGTATATTAAAAATTATACACTGCAATTTATAGAACAAATTTATTTCCAATAGCTCAATTTATTTTAATGTCAAGAGTTATACAATTTTAATCATACCTTTAGATGTAGATGAATTATTTTTATTTATTCACAACTAAAACATTGATTTTCCAAATTTATCACATAAAAAATCATCGTCTGCCATTGTGATTTATGGCCATAGAAAAAGTACACGTGTTAGAAATTGAAGGTTTTATACCTTTGTGATTAAAATGTATAACAAATTCAGAAAGAATTAATATATAGCATTCGCGGTAAAGGTACAATATCAATGGAAATAGGCTAATCTTTATCTTAAGTTCAGAAGTGAAACTATTTGCACTCCGTCACCACCCTCCGCATTAATTGCATTATAACTCATTTAATCCTGACTTTATTAGAACTTGTAATATACTATTTTAAAGGTAATTAAATGGGCTACAACTATCATGAATTTTACCGTAACTTCTCTTATTTTGAAACGGCAAAGATTTAAAGGGCTCGAAAGACACTCTGGTTGGACAGCCGCACACTCTTTAAACAATCATAACTATCAATATTTGTGTAGCAGAAAAATAATAAAAAGCAATTATTAGTCAGAAAAAGACCTTGAATTTTCATCTATATACCTTTATACGTATTTTTTATTCTATCAGAAATATAATAAAGAGAAATTGCTCTTGAAAGCTAATATTGTTCTAAAACACTTTATGAAACACCGATTTATTAAGATTTTAATTGATGACAAAAAACGATAAAAAATGCAAAAAATTATAATTAGATTACTTATAATTAGTTCTTTTATCGATACCGATGAAAAGAAATGTCATCCCCCTGGGAAGTGGCAAAAAGTGTCTAAATTATTTTGACTTTTGAACTTGAGAGTAAGATGAACCTAATTCCAAAATTTCATGCAAATTGGAGCACACTAACAAAGGGTCTGGGCGTGTTTCCATACAGAATTGGCCCCACCCTGGTATTTAAATGATTTTGATGCCATTTTATAGGTATTTTCGAAAAAATCGAAATACCAAATTTCAAATCCGCAGCTCATCATTTGGCCGAGCTATCAGTGAAAACATGTGAAAGCAGCCTCATTTTTCAAACTCACTTTTTGTCGGAAATATGAGAGATATCATAAAAATGTTAACGTCATTCTATTTATACTGATCTTGTCTATGTTGTTCATAACAAATAATGTGAAAAAATTATTTGTTAGTGCGTGTAAAGGTGAAAATGATTTTTCATTTTCCATTTTCTACCAGTGCGGCTCTTTGGACTACTTTTATATTAGCATCATTCAAAAGCCTGTACATTTTTCTTCTGTTATTCAAAAATTCATTTAAATGTAAGTGGAACTTTGGGTGAAAAGTTGAAAAAACTTAACCTAGCACATGCGCTGCCGGTACAAGAACACCCATATAAAGTCGCTTTGCAAGAGCGACGAGCAAGCATAAGGCTCGTCGTTATCGCGCGCCTCGACAAATTCTGTACTACATATATGGACATATTTATCAAAAACCAAAATTTATTTATATCTTGTATATGAGAATATTCATTAGTCATAATAAAAAATCCAACGCGCCGAATAAAACAATCATTATTATTATTGATTATTTTCATTCGCCGTATAAGCTTCTGACTAATATATTTCAATGTATGAAAAACTAAAAATTTTTCATATATTTACGTCGGCAATAAAAAGTATTTTAATTTTAATTCATTACCTTTTTTGATTTTTTGCAATGTTATTGTATTTTAAATAGTTATCAATAAATAAAAAATCGAAAAAATATATGTCAGAATACATTTCATAGCTATTCAACGCAAGTATATAAGTATTAAAAATATATTAAGTATTAGAAGTATATTACAAAAAATATACTCTGTTGTTAAAATATAATTATTATGGCTATTCATGACTATCCAAATGACAACTATTATTTTTTCAGCGAATAGTAAAAACAATTATAATTATTTTTTCTATGTAACTACTATGCAATTCTGCATTATCCACAGTTTTCAATTTTTTCTTCATCTTGTTGTATATCATGTGGAAAAAAAGTTTTTATAAAATCGTGAGTTTTCTGAAATAGTTTGTACTAAGGTAGTGAATCTGCTAGAATCCATCAAGATGTCTATAATGAAGTGAATTCTAGATAAAATGTGAATTACTTTAATTCTGGTGGAAATGGCGCTCATTAAACCATATGATTTAAAAGAAAAAAACTTCGTATATGCTTCTTATTTGCATGATAGCTCACTCATTTTACACGCAAAAATATTTAACAGCACTCATTTTAAAGCTTATGTTGAGCACTATAAAACCCAATTTCACCGAAATGCATAAAATGTAAATCCTCGACACTAGATGGCTTTAAATACAACAATTAAATCTTGAACGAAATAAAAAACGACTTTGCTCTTTCAAATCTTGCTTAATATTTTCCCTAGAACACTTTATGTAAAACCGATTTATTAAGATTTTTATTGACATTATTTTGTTCATTACATGATTTTCGTTAAAATGTATATTTTAGAAGATATTGAAAAAAAACGAAGAAAAACGCCAAAAATATATGAATCTTTATTGGCCAGCAACTTGAAAAGTATTAGTTTTTTTGAAAAACTATAAGAGACATTTTTTTCTTATAATTAGTTCTTCTATCGATTTCCGACGTTATTTTGAAGAAAATGTAATTACACAATTGAGAAGGAGTGTCATTCCCCCGGGGGGTGATGGCGCAACCCGAATTGTTTTCACTTTTGAACTTGAGGGTAAGATGGACCTAATTCCAAAATTTCATTCAATTCGGAGCACATTAAAAAAATTCAGAGGTTATACCCTTTTCCCTCTCCGTTTATGCACTAACAGTAGCAAATAAGTTTTACTTCAATCGCGTGTGATCCTTAAGCGCACTCTTTTTTTGTTTTATATTTTAAAAAGAAAAATTTTATTTTATTTAACAACAGCAATGAATTTATTTCGATTACAAAAATGAAGTGTTATTTAGTTGAACTTCTCTAAGTAACTAAAAGTGAATCCAAAATAAATACTGAATCAAAGCTTTATACGTGTCCGCAAATTATCCGTTTCCTTGAAGCGCTCTTTGGTAAACCAAATTTTTTGTTTTTTGGTCTGACGTTAACACAAACAAAGCGGATGGTTTTCCAACTCGTGAACACGCAACGTATAATTGTTCATGTAAAAAACAATGATTTTCTAAATTTATTCCGCAAACACTAAGCGATTGGCCTTGCGACTTGTTAATTGTCATTGCAAACTCAAGGCGAACTGGAAATTGCAATCGTTTGAAGTCAAACGGAAGACCATTCGGAATCATTGGTCTTCGAGGAATTACATACAATTTCACCTGCGCACTTTCCGTTAATAATGGTTACCTCAATCAAATTCGGCATACGTCTTTTTACCGAATGTCGAGTACCAAATTCAAATTACATTGGCATATAGTCGTCATTGTAGTGGGATCATATTGGAATGCCAAGCGATTGTATGATGCCAATGATCTTCGTGTGCTCACGCGTTGTTTCAATCGGGCATTTTCTATTGTTATATTTCGTCTTTCTTCGCTTAAGTTCTGTGAATACACTTGTTGCTGTCTTGCATGTTTTGTGCGACGGCCGATGTTCGCACGTCGTCCTCAAGTCATTTTAGACTATGGACAGAGTGATGAATTTAACCTCAAATGCACAATCCACATAATTTACACAGTTTAATTTACCACCTTAAAGACAAATGCCTGCTGTTGAAATTAAATTAAAAAAAAATTGCACAATACACGTGATTGATTTGATGGTTTTCAACTGAAATGTTAGGAAACGAATAACTTATTTTTTTTACTTTTTTTTCACAATTTCACAGTGAACACAATACCGGTTTGTCACATGAAATTAACTGAGCAGAGAACAATGAGTAGCAGCCAAACAAATGAGTAGTAGTCAAGCAATGTATCACGCACCGACGCCATCTACTTAAAATATTGGTTTGTAGTACATGCTATGTATCAGGAATAACGCTGTATGTGAAAAAAGATTTTCCCGCTTTTCTGTTAAAATGTTTCCTCAATTTTCTTTGCTTTAAACTTCACGGAGCCCGAGACGTTTCCAACAAATGCAAAACCGTCGAAATCGGTTCGTGCGTTCTGGAGTTATAGAGTAAGGAAGGAAAACCCGTCTTATTTTTATAAAAGAGATAAACTAAAATTAAACTCACCATTTAATTGGCCATTTGCCACCTTGGGTTGCTTGATAGTAATTGTTGTCAGTTCCTAAAGCTCTTGATAAACCAAAATCACTTATTTTCGCTTGATGCTTAGAAGATAACAATATGTTTCTAGCAGCCAAGTCACGATGTACAAACTTCTGAGTTTCAAGATAATACATTCCTAAAAACAATCTCTATCTGTTTTATAAATTCGATTAGTTTTGCAAAACAATCGGTCATGTCGCCTTTTTAAAATTTGAAGAATAATGCAATGCTTTCGCAAAAAATTCTGAGCCTACATTTGAAATTTAGAAATTTGTGACTCGTGATTATTAGTTTTTGCTAAATATCTTCCTAATAAAATAATATTCGTATTAAAAGTCCCTGGGGCATATTAATAGACATTACAAGTGCCATCTTATTCTGAAACTTGTTTCATTTAAATTAAATTGGCACATTTACAGATTCATCGTTTTGATATATTATTCCCGCGCTTTTCATTAATTTATTATTTTTTCCATTTCAAAGCAAAATCCAAATATTCATTTTTTCAATTTATTCAATTATGTTGTGTCATGCAACATGAGGTTTTAAAAACTCCGCAGAAATGTTTGTAAGTTTGCTCTGCTCAAAACTATTGTATATTCAAATTTTAATATTCAATTTCTATATCTATTTGTCTTTATATTATATTTATCTATTTGGCCAAAATTTCTTTTTCTGCAAGCTATTCATGAACTGTATACTGCTTATGCACATTAGGAAACATTTCAAAAATAGAATAATTCTGAGAATTAGTGATTATGCAAAAATCGATCGCTAATTTGATGCATCTAATTTTATCGACAGCAACCTTTCCGTCGCCAATATCCAAGAATTATTTAGAAATATTTCAGCAAATGTTTTCAAGTTCAGAAAAATCTTAATCAAAATTCAGCGAAAAACGTTCACTAAAAGGACGATAATTGATCAGTTATCGAACTTGATGAAAAATTATTGGACTACTAAAGTGATTATACTAAAATATGAATATGAGGCAGGATGATGAAAATATAAAATTGAATGTATTTTTCAATTCCGCAATAAAAAAGTTAACACAAAAAAATTTGATCTTAAAAATTAAAATTAAATATTAGGGTTGGACAAACCCCGATAAAAATGAATTGTTTTTTGAACTAAGATTTAAGCTTTTCCATGAGCTCGAAAAAATTTGAGCTGAAATTTAAAGAAACATTTACTGACTAGAAGCAAAATGAAAAATTTTTCAAATACTGAGAGATGATAGATATTACGTAATGTGCTTATATAATTATAAGAAAACAGAATAAATTACAAATTGATTTTACTAGTATGTAAGTGATTCAATAATAAATACATAGTGAATATTAGTATTGAACATGAATTCTTACCACAAGCAATTTGCGCGGCCCATATTTTCAATTCACACTTAGGATTCACTCTTTCTGGAAACTCGAGAAGATAATTCAGCATAGATCCTAATGAAACTAATTCTTGAATCATTAGCAATGGTGGTCCCTATAAAAATAATCAAATAAAAATAGTGTTTTGTTTTAACATTAAACACAATCATAATACAGAAAAAACAATTTTTTAAAATGCAATAATAAAACCACCTCCAATTTGTTTTTACCACAATACCGACGTTGGTATCCCACAAAAATAAACTCAAGGTTTGTCAGAGCAATTCAACTAGTAATTGAAATTTGTAATTCTAAATAATCAGTATTACAAAATAATCCCTCAATATATTATTAAAAAAATACAATAAGAATTAATAATTTTAGTCAGTTAAGATAAAATTTAATTCTAATAAAACAAAATGGTAAACGAGATAACTATTACGAGTATATTAATTCAAGGTGTGTAAAATGAGGCAGCAGTTGGATGTAAAAAAACTTTCAAATTTATAAAGTACAATTTAATAAAGAATATTGATGAGGACTGTAATAACTCAAGGTAAATTATTAAAAAAGGAGTTTAATTATAACTTAAATTAAGGTTTTGTACAATGAAGCATATGAAAAAAAAAAATAGTTTTCAAACCAAGAGAAATTAAAGTTAACTAAATAGTTTTAAGTGCTAAAATTTGATATACTTGCCTTTACTAATATCAAACAATCAAATAAATGACAGATGTAGTAGTTTGTCATAGAATTATTAAGAATGCTTTTATTTTTCCACTGTTTTAGAATATAATGTATGATTTATGACTATTTATATATCACAATGTATGAATTATAATTATTTATATATCGCAATTGTAATAATTATTTACCTGAGAAACTCCTATTAGACGTACTATACAATGATGATCTAAGCTCATCATTAATTTGGCCTCTCTCAAAAAATCTTCTTTATTAGCTTCAACATGTTCTTCGCGTAACGTTTTGATGGCAACGTCTATCTGACACGTTTTATTAATGACATAAATTCCCTTATAAACTTCCCCAAATTCACCCTCGCCAAGTACAGAACCTAGTACTAAAGACTCTTTAGAAATATCAGAGTTCCTTTGGATGGACAAATCGTTTTGAATTTCCTTACAAAAAGAGTTATTTTGTTTGCTTTCATCTCTGGAATGTATAATTATAAAAACAACTATACTAAATTATTGATTAAAAATGTATGTATTATTACATATGCATATATTTACTAAATGGATTATGTAAGACTATGATGTAAGTAATAAAATATACAAACCTAATTATATTTTTATTTACATCATTTTCAATGTCATTATAAGTTGTTGACATATTTAAATGATTATCTATTTGAACTGCCGCGTTATTCAAAGGTATTGTGTAGAAAGAGTCCTGGTCGTTTGTCATGGTGCAACTTTGTAAACTAATTGTTTCATTATTCATTAAAGAAACATTTGCTGATTTCGATAGAGATTCCATATTACTCTTATTTGGAAAAATATTTTTTACTGAACTGCTTTTCATTCTCGGTATAGTTGAAAACTATAAAATAATTTAAATCGAGATATACCTATATATATATATATATATATGTAGATAGATAGATTTAGTTGAATTTACTTCTGGTAAAGGTGGTTTCGGTTTTGGTGAAACCGCAACTTGCAACATATTGGGTAAACCGTCAGACATCAACGAGTAATGCTCCACTAAATGCTCAAGTGATTCATGATATGGTCCATCATCAATGAATAACCAACGACCCTGCAAAAATGATTCAAAAACCTTCAACAAAAGTTCTTAAAAATAAAATAACTCATCGAAACCACAAAATGCCGATAACAAAAAAAAAATGGTGCATGATATTGCATCCCAAGGCAAAATGCTGGGACTTTCTGTACTGTAATTCTACATTAGAAGATTCAAAATAATCAATAATGAATAAAAAAAAAGATCAATGATTAATATAAATAATTGCAAACATTTTCATTCATATTAAGTACTTTTTAATATATAAACAAGTGATGTATGTTTACAACAAAAATAAACATTCATAAATAGAATCTAATGGAATCCGAATAAATAATTTTAGAATGTATCTGAGGACTATCTCAGATTTCTAAGAAATTAGAAAAATATATATTACATTAACCCCTTCACTACAAGAGTGCTTTCGGCCCAGTTGCAATACTGAACGGACAGACGCAACAATATATTTTAAGATAATGTTAGTGAACTACCCCAATTAATCATTTAGGCTATGATTATCGCTGTTTAACAAATAACTAAGAGTTTGTCAGCTGTTTTCGGTATGCTTCAACTGTAACACCTATATATGCTGAAATGTGACGGCGTGGTTGTTGTCTTGGTTGCTTCTGGGTCCTTCTAGCTATGTAGGGGTAAGCCTAGCAACCCAAGATCAACTCGTCCACAGATATATGATAAGCAGGGTACTGGTTTAATAAGTCTCCTCGGAACGGGGGTGGTTTTCCTAGAGGTATTAGCTGGAAGACTAGGTGTAAATAAAATACAAGCTCTCCCGTAATTATAACCACTTTATTGGACAACACTAACAATATGACATTCACTGTCTAATAAACTAGAGTCACTATTCAGTCAGTCAGTTCTTTTACAAGAACTGTTCGACTATTATATACTATAATATCTGGGTCATTGATAATAAAACAAGGTGTTTTTGTAATGTATTGTTTATGAACTAAATAAATTTTATAACAAACTTACTGTTGCTGTCGCAATTAAAACTTTTTTTGTTTATAATTGCGCAGGACAGTTGAATGCATATGTGTGCATAATCCAGATAATTTTTGTTATATCTGAGGTTATTGTGTTTTCGACAAATACCGAAAACCTATGTCATAAAACTGCGTAAAAGCATCGTATCTTAATCACTTTACTGAATTGCGCAATCAAGATAATGGGATGGGATTCTTCGTACTATGAAAAAAAGTTGCTTATTAGTTATTATCTAGAAGGAAAAAGAAACTCAGAATCAGCACGACAATTGCTCCTTCTGTGTGGCAAATATCAATGGTATAAATTCAGGCAATAGAAGCAAATGGTCATAATAAATCCAACCTAAATCGTATTGAGTATTGATCTGCTACACGACTCCTGTACATGCTAATGGTGTACAACCTAGAACATGGGTGTCAAACTCGCGGCCCGCAGCAGATATTTTTGCGACCCGGCTGCCCGCATATATTGACAAATGATAATATGCAATAAATAACAATTCGATAAAGAAAAAAAAGGAATATTCAACTACTAAGTAATTAATAATAATTAATTGTTTAACAAATAGTTTATACCGCGTAAAGTTACTTGATATTGGATCTTATTGTCAGCAGCTTATCAGATGCTTATTTATCTATGGTTAGTAGTTACTGAATATTTTGCAATGATGCATTTCAAATATGCGCCAACGTAAATGTGAACGGCGTAACTAGCGGTTTCTAACATATAGTGAATCCTTGTTCTATGGTGGAGTTGGCAACACTTGATCCGGATCTCTTGATCTGGTTCCGTAAGCTGTTCTGCTTTTAAATCTTCCTCACACCGAACTTTATGTATTTGCATACCTGCACTATAATCCACACTATTAAAAAATTCCATGTCTTCAATGTACTCGCCTTCAACGGACTTGCATCAACTGCAGTTTTTCTATAGTAGTGCAGTAAACGGAGAGGAAAAAAGGGTATAGGCTCTGAATTTTTTTACTGTGCTCCGACTTGAATGAAATTTTGGAATTAGGTTCATCTTACCCTCAAGTTCAAAAGTGAAAACAATTCGGGTTGCGCCATCACCCCCCTGGGGAATGACACCCCTTCTCAATTGTGTAATTAATTTTTTTCAAAATAACGTCGGCAATCGATAGAAGAACTAATTATAAGAAAATAACGTCTTCTATAGTTTTTCAAAAAAACTAATACTTTTCAAGTTATTGGCCACTAAAGATTCATATATTTTTCAAAAAAAGTTTTTATAAAATCGTGAGTTTTCTGAAAATAGTATGTACTAAAGTAGTGAATCTGCTAGAATCCATCAAGATGTTTATGATGAAGTGAATTCTAGATGGAATGTGAATTTCTTTAATTCTGGTGGAAATGGCGCTCATTAAACCATATGATTTAAGAGAAAAAAATATCGTATATGCTTCTTATTTGCATGATAGCTCACTCATTTTACACGCAAAAAACTTGTAACGTTGTAACTTGTCTGGGCGTGTTTCCATACAGAATTGGCCCCACCCTGGTATTTAAATGATTTTTATGCCATTTTATAGGTATTTTCGAGAAAATTCGAAATACCAAATTTCAAATCCGCAGCTCATAATTTGGCCGAGCTATCCGTGAAAACATGTGAAAGCGGCCCCATTTTTCAAACTCACTTTTTGTCGGAAATATGAGAGATATCGAAAAAATGTTAACGTCATTCTATTTATACTGATCTTGTCTATGTTGTTCATAACAAATAATGTGAAAAAATTATTTGTTAGTGCGTGTAAAGGTGAAAATGATTTTTCATTTTCCATTTTCTACCAGTGCGGCTCTTTGGACTACTTTTATATTAGCATCATTCCAAAGCCTGTACATTTTTCTTCTGTTATTCAAAAATTCATTTAAATGTAAGTGGAACTTTGGGTGAAAAGTTGAAAAAACTTAACCTAGCACATGCGCTGCCGGTACAAGAACACCCATATAAAGTCGCTTTGCAAGAGCGACGAGCAAGCATAAGGCTCGTCGTTATCGCGCGCCTCGACAAATTCTGTACTACATACGAGGTGTGTTCAAAAAGTACCCGGAATTTTTAAATTTCGCGGGTCTTGAGTGTCTGATTGTCTAAATTTTTTTTTTATTGTGTTGGTATACATGCCCCTAAAGTATGATGAAATTTTCAGCTATATTCACTGTTTACTTTGTCTGTGGTAGTCGCTAAGGTTTGACGTGTTTTTCTGAGCTCGGCGATTTTTACAATGGAAGAATTGAAAAGTCAAAGAATTTGTATTAAATTTTGCGTAAAAAATGAAATAAAGTGTAACAAAGTGTGTGAAATGTTACAAAAAGCCTATGGTGAGTCTGCTATGAAAAAAACAAGTGTTTACGAGTGGTATAAGCGTTTCCAAGATGGCCGCGAAGACGTTGAAGATGACGAACGCTCCGGTCGACCCAGCACGTCAACAAACGATGAAAATGTGAAAGAAGTGGAAAAAATGGTTATGAATGATCGCCGAATCACAATTAGAGAAGTTGCTGATGAAGTTGGCATATCAATTGGCTCATGTCATAACATTTTTTCAAATGTTTTGGGCATGAAACGAGTGGCAGCAAAATTCATTCCAAAACTGCTAAATTTTGACCAAAAAAGCAATCGCATGAACATCGCTCAAGAGCTGTTAAATGACGTCAACAACGATCCAAGTTTGCTTGAAAGGGTCATAACTGGTGATGAAACATGGGTGTACGGTTATGATGTCGAAACCAAAGCCCAATCGTCCCAATGGAAGAGCCCAGGTGAGCCAAGACCAAAAAAAGCACGTCAAGTTCGATCGAATGTCAAGGTTTTGCTTACTGTTTTCTTTGATTATAACGGCATAGTACATCAAGAGTTCTTACCACAAGGTCGTACGGTTAATAAGGAGTATTACCTTGAAGTGATGCGACGTTTGCGTGAAGCAATCCGAAAAAAACGCTCCGATTTATGGAAAAACAATTCATGGCTGTTGCACCACGATAACGCACGGCGGTTTTCCTCGATTGAAGAAATAAAGGCCGAATCGCTAAGAGTGCTCAAGGACATATCAAAAAGTGAATATCAAGGGTGCTTCGAAAATTGGAAAAAACGCTGGCATAAGTGTATTATATCTGGGGGGGACTACTTTGAAGGGGACCACATTAATGTAGACGAATAAATATTTTTTTGAAAAAACGAAAATTTCGGGTACTTTTTGAACAGACCTCGTATATGGAAATATTTATCAAAAACCAAAATTTATTTATATCTTGTATATGAGAATATTCATTAGTCATAATAAAAAATCCAACGCGCCGAATAAAACAATCATTATTATTATTGATTATTTTCATTCGCCGTATAAGCTTCTGACTAATATATTTCAATGTATGAAAAACTACAAATTTTTCATATATTTACGTCGGCAATAAAAAATATTTTAATTTTAATTCATTACCTTTTTTGATTTTTTGCAATGTTATTGTATTTTATATAGTTATCAATAAATAAAAAATCGAAAAAATATATGTCAGAATACATTTCATAGCTATTCATCGCAAGTATATAAGTATTAAAAATATATTAAGTATTAGAAGTATATTACAAAAAATATACTCTGTTGTTAAAATATAATTATTATGGCTATCCATGACTATCCAAATGACAACTATTATTTTTTCAGCGAATAGTAAAAACAATTATAATTATTTTTTCTATGTAACTACTATGCAATTCTGCATTATCCACAGTTTTCAATTTTTTCTTCATCTTGTTGTATATCATGTGGAAAAAAAGTTTTTATAAAATCGTGAGTTTTCTGAAATAGTTTGTACTAAGGTAGTGAATCTACTAGAATCCATCAAGATGTCTATAATGAAGTGAATTCTAGATGGAATGTGAATTACTTTAATTCTGGTGGAAATGGCGCTCATTAAACCATATGATTTAAAAGAAAAAAACTTCGTATATGCTTCTTATTTGCATGATAGCTCACTCATTTTACACGCAAAAAT